TGCTAAAAAGAAAATGGAATTCTATTTTCTTGTAATATAAATGGTACTGTATTCAGGTTAATTTCTTTAGAGAAAAATAACATTTCATCAATTTTCATTTTATACACATACACACACACATACATACACTCACACAAATATAATAGAAGCACCCTATCTATAGAAGGATCCTATCCATGTATACTCAGACTTCTAAACTTCTCTCTGAGTACCTTCAAAGAACTAAATAAAAATTTATCTACTAATGCTCCACACCCATCAACTAATTGCATCGGAGATTACTGAGAAGATTCTATGCCCATATTTTTATTCTTCTAATTTTTATCATATATTTATTCAAAACTTCTATTTGGATGAAATTCATTGTATTAGGTCAAGCAATTTATAATATTTATATGATTCCAAACAGTCACAATTTAATAAAAATCACCATAAAATTAATTATTTGACCAAATTATTTTTATTTACTTTGCTAGAACTTAAATTTATAAAGCCTGCCTTCTTAGAGAACTTTTTTATAATAAAATTCAGTGTTCTGTCATTTTCACTTGAGCATATTCAACAGGATTGTGTTCTAACATTGAAAGGACCCTAAAATAGTTTATAAAATGGTCCTTCAGCCTGGAACTTCAGAAAGAGTTATTGATTTTAGCACAATGCTTACCATAGTCTCTCAAAGTCTTAAAGAATACCTGTGGAATGAAGGAATCCTTAAGTGCTGGAGTGCAGAGAATGCTCTTTTACAATTGTGAGTGCTTTTTTGCATATAGCAGGGTATTTTGGAAATAGCATTCACTCTCACATATACATTCCAATGTGATGAATTTGTATTCCATTTTGTCTCTTTCATGAAAAACTGTCCATAGCTTGAGGTGAAAGGTAATGGTTGCAAACAAATGCAGCAGCCCATTACTATGGCTTCCTTCCATGTCTCCCATGTAAAATGTGCTCATTCTTGTAATCCCTTCTTCAGAAAGCTGTGAATCTAAGTACCCAGAACAGTTATATTTTTCCTCTTTTTCATCTAGAACAAACTAAGAAGTGTCAAGGGGATGGAAAAAAGTCCCTTCCCCAAGCAGCTCAGTGAATATACATTTCTTTTAAACTGTCGAACCTTTTTTGTTTTAGAAAACTTCTCATTGTTTAATGTCCATGATGATTACTTAGACTAGTTCATGAGCCACTGGACTTAACAGAACATGGATATTTCTTAAATTTGAAACAGACAAAGCACAGAAAGATCAATTTTGTCTCGTAGTCTTTGTTTACAATTTGTATTGGGTAGGACTTATTTATAATGCATCACATCTAGGCAGTGTTGCTGTTGCTTCTTATACAAAACAAAAGAGGAATGTTAAAGACTGCAAGATGATAGTCTCATTAAATTATTATGATGCTTTTATTTATACAAAGTTACGTAAAAATGACCTCATAGGTTTCGATCAGCTCTGTAATTCAATATCCCAAATGACTCAATTATTTTTCTTAAATACATGACATAAGAATTTTTAAATTATCACCTGAGAGATAATTATCACATGTATTTTTAGAAGGCAGAAGTTATATGCACTAATGGGTGGATCATGAATTGACATAAGTGTTAAGTTAGAGAAAAGAAGCACTGTATATTTTAATACTTGAAATGTGTGATCCTTAATGAATAGTATAATTTATGGGTTAATGCATGGGCTTTGGATTTTGGGCTGCCCTGTGCTGAGATCCTGGCTTCTTTGATTGCAGAGAAACAAATATTGCCTAACTTAAACAAAAATGAAAATTATTGGCAAACTTTTAAGGTATAACAAACTTGAAGATTGGAGAACCACTTCTTAAAATTGACAGAAACCAATAGTTTTGGGTGAGTCAAGAAAATAGGAACTAAAGAAAATTTCTCAACATAGAAAAAGTGAGATGTGGCTTCTGCTTCTGAAGGAATGGAATATCACCATTTTTAAAAAGCCTTGTCCCATTTCCTCAGGGGTTAAAGTTCCACCAATAGTATTTGACTAAATATTGTTCCCCAAATAGTCTAGTGGAAAGAAAGATCCTGTCCTTCAACTTCTGTAATGAAAGTTATCTATTTTGCCACCTATAAAATATTCTTAATGAGTGGCATGTGATTCTCTAAGAGGAAACTGGAGTGCTGCAAGAAAGGGATAATGGATGCTGGGGGCCAAAGAGCAACAAATATACATTATGCATGGCTACTTACTAGCAGCGTGATGATTGGCAAGTTACCTAACCTAAGCCTCAGTCTTCTTATCAATAAAATGGCAACAATAACAATTTATACTTTCTTGGATTATTGCATTAAATGAAATAATATATGGAAAATCTAAGGTTCATAGCAATCATACCATACATATAGGCTATTATGATTATGATTTTGTAGTTTCTATGGTCCTTTTGCAGATATTTGTTTATTAATTTCTCACAATATCCTGTTAGGTAACTGTAATAGATTATTATCCTTGTTTTATGGATAAGTAACATGGACTTAGGAGAAGATTCCCAAAACCTAAAGCCTGGTGTTCTCTCAAATCCCACATACTTTCTTTGGTGGAGTGCAGAATGTCACTGAAATATCATCACTTTGGGGAAAAAACAAAAAAAGCAACACTATGACATAGCATTGAGCAATAGTCAGAACTAGATAACATTCAGACAGAACTCTTATAGCGATAGGATGGTTTGCTCACTGCTCGACTGCAGGTTAATCCAGCTCTTGTGGATATTGACTGGAAGCGGGTGTTCTGATGAACACTCACAGGATGGTGTCAGTGTTGCAGTGCAATCCTGTGACCTTGAGGTTTTATCACAAACATAGCCAAGCTGATAAAACTGTGCTTTATATGTTCGTTGGCCTCATATATGTCTTCTTTTGAAAAGTGTTCATATCCTTTGCTCACACTTTTGGATGGGTTTGTTTTTTTCTTGTAAATCTGTTTTAGTTCTTTGTAGATTCTGGATATTAGCCCTTTGTCAGATGGGTAGATTGCAAAAATTTTTCCCATTCTGTTGGTTGCTGGTTCACTCTAATGATTGTTTCATTTGCTGTGCAGAAGCTCTGAAGTTTAATTAGATCCCATTTGTCTCTTTTGGCTTTTGTTGCCAATGCTTTGGTGTTTTAGTCATGAAGTCCTTGCTTATGCCTATATCCTGAATGGTTTTGCCCAGGTTTTCTTCTAGGGTTTTTATGGTGTTAGGTCTTATGTTTAAGTCTTTATCCATCTGGAGTTAGTTTTAGTGTAATATGTCAGGAAGGGGTCCAGTTTCTGCCAGTTAGGATGGCGATCATTAAAAAATCTGGAGACAACAGATCCTGGAGAAGGTGTGGAGAGAAGTAAGAACACTTTTACACTGTTGGTGGGAGTGTAAATTAGTTCAACTATTGTGGAAGACAGTGTGGCACTTCCTCAAGGACCTAGAAATAGAAATTCCATTTGACCCAGCAATCTTATTACTGGGCATATACCCAAAGGATTATAAATCGTTCTATTATAAAGACACACGCACACGTATGCTCATTGTGGCACTGTTTACAATAGCAAAGACCTGGAACCAGCCCAAATGCCCATCGATGATAGACTAGACAAGGAAAATGTGGCACATATACACCATGGAATACTATGTATGCAGCCATCAAAAATGATGAGTTTGCGTCCTTTGTAGGGACATGGATGAATCTGGAAACCATCGGTCTCAGCAAACTGACACAAGAACAGAAAATCAAACACCACATGTTCTCACTCATAGGTGGGTGTTGAACAATGAGAACACATGGATACAGGGAGGGGAGTATCACACACTGGGGTCTGTCCAGGGAGCCAGGGGAGGGACAGTGGGGGGTGGTGGGGAGGTTGGGGAGGGATAACATAGGGAGAAATGTCAGATATAGGTGATGGCGGGATGGAGGCAACAAACCACATTGCCATGTATGTACCTATGCAACAATCCTGCATGATCTGCACATGTACCCCAGAACCTAAAGTACAATAAAAGCAAACAAACACAAAACTGTGCTTTAAAAGTATAGTTTTGATACTTTTCACTTATTAACAAAATGTGAGAATACAGAAAAGCAGTCTGTCATATACTACAGAATTTTAAAAAGCAATCCACTGCTCTGTGTGTGGGCAGGTCTGGATTTGTTTTTAGATTGACACCTAGACACCCATTCATAAGAGTGGGACATACTGTTTAATAACAAGTATGTTTTCCTGTCCTGAGTTTTACTATCTTGCAACATGGCATCTCTGCCTTGGTGAATATTTACCCAGTCTAGGAAGCTGTTTTCAGAACCCAACAGAAGGCATTCTCCAGCTTCCCACCTCTGGGGTCCATCTTCCTTTACTGATCTCTCTGGGACAAGAAAGCAGAACTATTCTTGTGGTCAACAAAGTCAGCCATCTCCAACTGTGCTTTTAGCAAGAAAGGGACCAGAAGGTTGGGAGAATTGACTGATTTCTTGTGGATCCTCCTGATTTTTTATGTTTCTTCCATGAAGAATCTGAAGTGAGATTTTGAAAACTGAACATGTTACTGATTTTCTTTTAAGAACTCTGGGCTGCCTGGTTCTTTAGCATTCTCCTCTAAACTCTTTGCTGCCTTGTATGTGAATTCTTAATATTTAAGGCTGTGCCTCCTGTGAGACTGTGGACTCCATGAGAGTTGGTGATAATATCTTGTCTACTTTTTGCATCCTTTACGTGCACCTCAAAGTGCAATCTATGGACCAACAGCAGAGACATCAACACGGAGCTTGTCAGAAATGTAGAATGTCAGACCCTGCTCCAGATTTACTGAAAACAGTATATGCTTTTTAATAAGATCTCCAGATGCTTTGTGTGCATATTTAAAATTGAGCAATATTGCTCTTCAGCATTATTGACATACTACATGTGAAATAGTAATGAAGATAATAAAGTATGTGAGGTAAATAATTATTATTTATGAAATCCTCTTTACTTCCATTTTTCCGCCTCCTCAACATTTTCTAGTAACATCCCAATCCTAGAAGAATGGAAACTACTGAAGACATATGAAGTTGGCAGAATCCACTTGAGCAACTCAAAAAAGGAAATCATGTGTTCTCATTTTTCATCACCCTCCTATGAGTGAGAATATGCGGTATTTCTAAACACTGGGGTCTATAGGGGGGAAAAGGGGAGGGCCAGCGGTGGCGGGGAGGTGGGGAGGGATAGCCTGGGGAAAAATGACAAATGTGGGTGAAGGGGAGAAAGGAAGCAAAACACACTGCCATGTGTGTACCTATGCAACTGTCTTGCACGTTCTGCACATGTACCCCAAACCTAAAATGCAATAAAAAAAAAGGAAATCAAAAAGAAAATCAAAATAAGTGGTCATCTAGTGAGGAGGGCTGGAGGAAGAGAGTCATTGTTTGCTAAGTTCATGTTCCTTATGATTACCATGAGCTTCAAGGAGCATAGGCTTCTAAGCCACAGCTGAATTTCCCTCACTGCTCCATCTTGGTCTCAACCAGTTCATTCACTTTTATCTGTTTCATCTATTAAATTTTCTGTTCAAGCTTTATTTACACAAAATAATCACAATAAAATATATACATGCCTTAGTTCATTTGTGCTGCTACCACAAAATACAAAATACCTGAGATTGAGTAGTTTATAAAGCACAGAAATTTAATTTTCATAGTTCCGGAGGCAGAGAAGTTGAAGATCAAGGTGCCAGCAGGTTGGGATGTCTGCATCTTCCAAAAAGAAGGAACACTGGATCCTCATATGGCAGAGAACAGAAGGGCAAGAAAAATGGATGCAGCATGAGACCTCTTTTGTGAGGGCCTTAATATCATTCAGGAAGGGAAGAGCTCTTATCAACTCTTAAAGACCTCTTAAAGACCCCACTTCTTAAAACTATCACATTGACTGTTAAGTTTCAACTCCTGAATTTTGGAGGAGTTGAAACATTCAAACCATGGCAATACACAAAAAATAAGGCAGAATAACCCCCACTTCAAGCCCCAAAAGCCAAATTTAAAAGCTTCTTTGCTAGGTCATGCATTATAATATCACAAGTTAATAAATGTGTTTTACCTATAGTATATCAATTGATATGTTAAAATTTTAATTAAAGAATATTAAGAATGTCTTTAACAATAGAAGTTTGTCAGTGATTCTTTCTCTGTTTCTTGAGTTTCTTGTATAGGATGCTGGCTATTTTGTTTACCCACAGGGTTTATTCTGGTGGTGATTATGATTGTATAGATGCAATCTTCTGTTTCAAGGAGTTATTTTAGTTGAGTTAAGTTCTATTCAATATTCATGGATTGCATGCTCTATGTCAAGCACTGTAGTAGGAGCTGGGCAAAATGAGTATGACACATTCTGTGTCTTCCAGGAACTTGTGGGCTGCTGAGCCAGAAAGTCACTAAACAGAGCATGTTGAAATAATTTAAGTGTTTTGATAGAGGGATATTCAGAGTTCTGTGGGTCTTAGGAGATGGGCATTGTATAACTGGATGGGAGTAAGGAAAGCCTCACTCGGCAGGTGAATCTTAGATTTTGTTTTGAATGAGCAATGGGAGTTAAGTAAATAAACGAATGCTGCAGAGACATTCTAAGTAGAAGTTACAGTGAGAGTAAAAATGCTGACGGTGTGAAACAGCATAGTCTGTTCTAGGAACTTTGCCAAGATGCAAATTATAACGTAGGAAAGGCATATGATGAGGCCAAAGAGAAAAGCTAGAGCCCCAGTGTGAAAGCCTCTGGAAAATATTTACCAAACTCACCATATTTAAATTATTTATAGGTACGTGACACCATAAATTCTGCATTCGAAAAAAAATTAATTGGCTCAAAAGAATATTGTATGAATTTTCAACCTTATTGTAAAAGTATTTTCTGTTTTTCATTAGGATGTGTTTATGTTTCTCAGTAGGGAAATGGCTTATGAAATTACGCCACTTCATAGCATAGTGAGTGAATCATAAATGCACTGGGAAAAAAAAGAAAACCTGTTATCCAATAAGAGTATCTACATCAGTGCTGCATTTTTTGGTAGACATTAGAAGTAGTACTTAACAGTTTGCATGAATCATTTTGGCTTAGATGGACATGACCGTAACAGTGTAGAGTGGTGAGTGGACCTGTGGAAAAGAAATAAACATTGAGCTTAGCTTTTGTAAAAACCACCACTGATGCACTGCGATGTCTGGAAATTTTACAGCACAGATATCAAAGAGAGGCATATTATTATTAATTATTATACATGATAAGAGGAAAAAATAAAATACTTGTGAATCCCCTGTATATCTTCTACTTTCTTTTTGGCAAAGGAAATTATTTACACTAAAATCAAACTCCATGAGGGTTAATATACGCTGTTTCTCCTTCTGTTTAATTCAAACACTTAAATACATAGTGAGCACTCAAGAATTATTTACTAAATGAATAATGCATCAGCTGAGTTTTCTCTTAGCAATGTTTCATTTGGCAGATTCTACCATTCATAAAAATACTAAAACTGTGGAGAATAATGCCTTGGGAGCATGGAGATAAGTAGCATCTTCTAAAGTTGGTCTTCTGTTGTTCAGAGAACTCATTCTGTTAAGCAAAGCAACGGGGTGGTGTATAAAATTTGAATTGGAAATATAACGTATTATGGAAGATTCTAAAATTCTCAGTGATCTTTTGAAAAAATTTAAAATAGATTAATACATGCTTATTGACAAATTCCAAGCAACTACAGAGACATGGTAACAAACCCATGTGGCACTAGCATGCTACAAGAATAGACCTAGGTCAGTGAAATCAAATAGCAAACCCAGATTAGAACTATGTATACCTGCTACCAGAGACAAATTAACAGTGGAGGTAACAAGACCTAGACTTCATCATTTCCTTACACTGGGTGGCACTCTCCTAAGATATTCGCATTGTTATGTGTTTTTTAAAATTTGCAAGAGTAAGATATTTTTGCTTCATTAAGTTAAGACACTAGCTCTTGCCACTTTGACTTCTCCTTCACTGCACTTCCCTTTTGTCTCATGGTATTAGAGTGGGCGTGGACAGTTTTGGAATACGGCTGAGAGAAAGTTGAGTTGGGAGTGCCATTGTAACTGAAATTTGGAAAATGTACAAAGGAGATGATGATACAAGTTAGAGAAGAAAAATTCAAAAAGGTAACAATCGTGTGTCATAGCATCTAAATAATTGGTAATCAGAGGACCTAAAATAGATCAGACTTCTCTTTCATAATTATTACCTCCAGTCAGTTGGATAATGGCAATGTTGACAGGAATGTGGAGGTTTAGAGATCCTCATGTCCTGGTGGGAGTTTAGCCTGAGTGTATTCATTTTGGAGATGGCGATTCCAAAGTGCAGCAACTGCACTTTGCTGGAGGTGTGATTAAAGCACTCAGGAGAACAGGGAAGAGCGAAACAGAATAACTGGCCCGTCTAGGAGTGATACATTTGCTTCTTTCCTGCTCCTGGTTCAAGAGCAGCAAGAGCAGTACTACTGCAGTCACAGTGACAGGGGGACTTTCAGTTTCCCCTGGAAACTCCACCTCAGCGAATCGCATAGCCACAGTTTCTGGGAATGTTCAGCCAGGAGGTGGGGCAGATGTGCTGCTGGCCCAAGCTGGAGGCTCCACTTGATGAAGAGTGGGGAGTTGAGGGCTTACAGGGAGGAGATACTGGTGACTATGGCAGGCTGGAAGGGTGAGTACACTCTTCAGGCTCTTGGTTTCTTCAGTCTGAGGACAGCAGGGGCAGAACTGCTGCTGTGGCAGTGGCAGAGGGAGCCCTTCTTCAGCAAACACAGAGCCCCCAGCAGTGTGATTGCTCAGCTGGGGGTGGGACAACTCTTCTCACCCTGTCTGGTGAAGAGTTGGGGGGTGGGTGCTCACAGGAAAGAGAGACTGAGCTCTTCTCTGTATGGTGGCTGCAGCATGCTGAGGCACCAGCGTAGCAACTTTGTTCCTTCCCCAGCCTGAGGGAAGTAAGATTGGTACCACTGCAGCAGCAATGACAGAGAGGCTGTGGTTTGTCCCTGGGAATTCTTCCTCTGATAAATGACTGAAGTGGTCAGGTGGGGTCAGTGTGGCTATTCTGAGGGCTCCGTTGGAAATGCATTGACTAGTGATGAGATGCAGAGGTTGGGACCCAGGGGAAAAACAGTGTGGCTGCTTCTCCATAAGGCTGGTGCTCTGTGCCAGTCCCCAACCACCTGGGGCAACAGGAGTGAAGGCTGCAGAGTGACAGAAATGGTGGTGCCCCTCTCCCTCTAGGAGTTCCATCCCAGGGAAGTGCAGAGCTGCTCCCAGTGAAGAACTACGATGAGGCTGAAGTGGCCTCTGTCCTAGGCCAGAGGGTCTTACCCTGTATGGTGCATTGGATACAAGGCCTGCAGCACATCACTGCTCAGCCCCTTTGAATTTGACCCCTTTCCTAGGGGTGTGCAAGAGAATCTGGCCTCTCTTATTGCTGGAGCTGCAGCCGCTGGTGCTGAGGTGCCCAGGCATCCAAGGCTTCTAAGATTCTCCATATGCCTGAGTGGCAGCTCTGCCCAGATTCCACATAGCTCTTTGTGTCAGTCTGGAGGGCTTAGTTAAGGATTCATAGGGAATCTCCTGAGCTCAGGGATGCAAAGGTCTGTGGAAGAAGTATGGGTTCCCAGGTACTCTCACTCACTCACCACTTCCCCATGGTAGAGGGCCTTTGGCCCTCCTCCAACACCATGGATTACAATTTGACATGAATTTGGGTGGGGGCACAAATCGAAACAATATTGCTAATGAATCCAATGTTCTATCTAGTTAAGGAGATTTCGAGGAAGAAATGCCACCTTGCTTCACAGGAGTAGATTAAAAAGAAACAGTTCCCTTATTAAGCACAATGTAGATAGAATATAAAGAATTAAAGACTTACTGGTTTTGAAGTTAAACTTTTTCATTCCTAGCTTTCCCACATGGCAGAAAGAATGTACTTTCTTGTTTCCAAAGTAGAAAGGTTATCAGGACAGATATCAAATTCAGACAACTGACAAAAAATCATAAAGATAAAATCAAGTGTAGATCCATTCTTAAGAGAAATAAGACATATTTCTACTTCAAAAACCTTGGATTCTATTGTAGATT